AACTTGACTGCTATTCTAAGTAAATTAGCTTTATGTCTGAAGAGTATGCCTTCTTTTTTTTCTATTTGACAAAAAAGTTTAGATTTCAATAGAAATTATCACTTTTATTAAAAAAAATAAAAAGTGTCTCGCCCCTTCTGGCTGTCAGACAACTTATCCTGTTACTTCCTGGTTTGGTAAGCTCAGTGGAGCTAAACTATAGAGGCAGCAATTGTCCAGAGCACCTGACCTGACAAAGACTTCTCACTGAGCTGCATTTGGAAGTCTGTGATTGGACAGACACAGAAAATCTGGGTGGGGTTAGAACAGGAGGGCTTGCAAAGGCAGCAGACAAGAGATCTGCACCTTTTGCAAGCTTTTTTATGCATGTGCCCAGTAAAAAAAAAATGCATAATTAAACACATGAATGTTTTCATTGGGGGTATATCTACTAAATAGATTTTTGTGCTCATTTGCATATCTTACTAGGCATTCTGGAAGTGTTAGTGAAATACAATCTTTTAGAGTATCAAGCAGGTTTTTACATAAGCCATCATATATGTGGATACTGCACACAAGTATACTTGGGGATTTGCTTAAAGGAACACTGCCCCTGCCCCAAGTTTCTAGGACCAGCACCACCATTTGATGATTAAAAGGTTAATACGCCTTTTTTATCTTACCTCTTTCCAATGCCCAGGCCCCCTTGGTGCTGGCCAGGCCTCCTCCCACTGTGACATCATGGTCATACGGAAAATAAAAGAAGATAGACATCCTCATGTAAAGCATGAAGATCTCCAACATTGGTTAATGTAAGCTAAGCACTTTGTATACGGTATCAGCTTACGGGCAGGGCTCTCTCTACCTCTTGTATTTGTCTGTGTATATTGTACGTTCTCCACTAATTGTACAGCGCTGTGGAATCTGTTGGCGCTTTATAAATACCAGTAATAAATAAATAGTAAAACTCCACTCGGGACCTGAGAGAACCTCTGGTAGCACGTGGAAGGCAGCCACTAGAGGTGGAGTTAACCCTGCAATGTAATCATTCCAGATTCTCAGAAACTGCAATGTTTTGCACAGCATAGTTAAGGGAAGAGAGACACTGCACCAAGACAACTTCAATGAGATGAAGTGGTCTGGGTGCCCATAGTGTTCCTTTAAATTCTGTAAATGCTTTTATATATTTATGTCAACACTTTTTTTTTTTTTTAAAGGATACTTCCCTTTTGGAATAAATTTAAATGTGAGTCATAACTTCTTTGCTGTTTAAAAATGTTTGCTACACTGTACAGCTATTGTGATATAATTAGACACACGGCATTGCTGATAGAGATCATGATGATGATGTTCTAAGGAATGCATGTGATCTATTTAAAAAAGAACAACAGATCGTTAGAAAGCAGTCTTCAGTCATTTTCAAAGTAAGCCAGATAATGTTTCAGGAGGAATTATTGAAATCACTTTAAAAGGGAACTGTGACTTCTTTAGCATTTACACAATTGGGGAAAACTTTAAAAATCACCTACAACTCGTATTAAACTTTTTCAGAGATGTGCTGTTTTCTTTTAAATTCATACAACAGAATTACTAAGTGACATCATAACCCAGTTTAGACACAGTACAGCCAGGACAAACATTGCAAATGAAGAGGAGAAATCAAAACCTTGTTCCATGTCTCCCCTTCTCTGTATGCTTGACATGCGTTTTTCTGGATTCTTTTTTTGTTATTCTGTCTCTCACTGTTAATGGGACACTATAGTCACCCAGACCACTTTAGCTCAATGAACTGGTCTGGGTGCCAGGTCCCAGAGAAACTGCTATGTTTACATAGCAGGGTTAATCCAGCCGCTAGAGGCGCTTCTGCGAGAAATTGAGAAATGCTCTCCTATGGACTGTTTGAATTCGCGCACGCGGCACTTGCCACGCATGCTCATTCCGCTGCATTTGGGAGCGGACGTCGGCGGGGGAGGAGAGGTCACCAGCGCAGAGGGAGCCCGGCGCTGGATTAAGGTAAGCTGCTGAAGGGGTTTCAACCCCTTCAGCGCCAAGGAAGGGGGCACCCTAAGGGGGCACCCTTAGGGCACTATAGTGTCAGGAAAACCAGTTTGTTTTCCTGACACTATAGTGATCCTTTAAAATACACCATTAAAATTATAGACCGATCATTTCTTTGTCAGTGGGAAAACTTTCAAAATCAGCAGGGGATCAAACTGTTTTCCCTCACTGTACATTTACAGTACATACTGAACATAATAAAACATTTTTGGAAGTGATAATCCCCTTTAAACGATCACATTTAATTGTTTGGTCGTTACTGTAAATAACTAGATTAATTGCAACTGAAAAGTTAAAGAATTAGGGCAAAACATAATGCAGGGTCTATTTTCAGGTGAATAATCGGTGAGTTAAGTAGTAGAAAAAAAACAAATTAATAGAAATATGTTAACACACACATTGGGACCCCCGCGCACACACTCAAAGCAGAATGCAAAGTATTCAGAAAGCAGGATCTGGGGGTATTTGGAACAGAGACAAGCAGATGAGATTACTCAAAAGATTTGCATACAGACTCTGAATTGTGACAAGGGTTATGCAATATGTATATCCCTGCAATGAAAACAGAAGGCATCAAAAGATGTTATCGAGCTCTGTGGTACATATATATATATACTGAACAATTAACTGCTGTGATATATACGCACATGTATAACATATAACTGGGATCTGCTGTTGTGGAGCTTTGTGATACAGTCAAACATGACACATGGCTGCACATGTCTTAGACACCCTCACAGAATTAAAGGGTTACTAAAACCCTACTGAGAGGGTGGACCTTTCCGTTGTAATACGCTTTATTGGGCACCTAGGGGGAAGGCCCCCCCTCCCCCTCAAAGTGCAATAAAACCTAAAATAAAAAGAATCCAGCTCCAGATTAAGCTCCCAGCGCTGCTTTTCCGCTCCCCCTTCAACTCCTACGTCATTGGGGCTGCAGACGGTCCATACACAGGCTTTTCACAGACAAGCCTGTGATTGGACCATTTACTGGCTCTGAGGGCATGCTCGCACCCCAGGCTGGCAAGGGGAGGGAGGTGGAAAGTGGGTAGGTGAGAGGTTTTTAAAAAACAAAACAAAAAAAAAAACACCAATATGCATGGAGGAAGGCGGCAGGGAGCATAGAGAGGGAGGGGAAATCTATCTTCCCCTTGCAGGTGCTCTGACAAGAAGATTTTAACGTCTCTTGTCAGTGTACTGTGCGCACAAAAGCAGTAATTTCTGCAGAGAATTGACATTAGGCAGTCTGGAACAGAGTCGTGTTCTGTGGTGCAACCTGACACATAATTGCCAATAGCTCAGTATGTGAAGTGTTTCATGCTTAAACACTGTACTTTCTGACCCAATACCACATTAAATCACTGAAGTGGTTATGGTGGCTGGAGTAACCCTTTAAGCGTGACAAAAGGGTTTACTTCAAATAAATTAATGCCTTTTAAATTTATAATTTTACCATCTGCCCGGTGACTTAAATGAGGAGCTCATTTGAGCAACTCTCAACATTATTATTGTCGATCAATTACTTGTTGTTGTTCACTGATCAGCTTCAACATTTAAGCCACTGACCGGTGAAGTGAATAACATTGATTATATTGTTACAATTGCATCTGTCAAGGGGTGGGGTATATTAGGCAGCAAGTGAACAGTTAGTTCTTGAATTTCAGATTTGTGAAGCAGGGACAATGGGCAAGCGAAAAGATCTGAGTGACTTTGACAAGTGCCGAATAGTGATGGCTAGATGACTGGGTCAGAGCATCTCCAAAACGGTATGTTTTGTGGGGTGTTCCCGGTATGTAGTGGTTAGTACCTACCAAAAGTGGTGCAAGTAAGATAACTGGTGAACCAGTGTGGGGTGCACGTGGGGAGCAAAGGTTAGCCTGTCGGATCCAATCACACATAAGAGCTACTGTAGCTCAAATTGTTGAAAAATGTAGTTATGGTCATGATAGAAAGAAGTCATAACACAGTGCATAGTAGCTTGCTGCGTACAGGGTTGCGTAGCCGCAGACCAGTCAGAGTGCTCATAATAACGTCTGTCCTCTGTCAAAAGTGCTTCCGATAAGGATGTGAGTCAGAACAGGACCATGGAGCAATGGAAGAAGTTTGCCTGGTCTGATGAATCACATTTTCTTTTAGATCAAGTGGATGGCCGGGTGTGTGCATCATTTTCCTTGGGTAGAGATGGCAGCAGGATGCACTATGGGAAAAGGCAGGCTGTTGGAGGCAGTTATATCCTATGAGCAATGTTGGGCAATGTACTGCTGAGAAACCTTGGGTCCTGGCATTCACTTTGTTACTTTAACACGTACCACCGACTTAGTGATTGTTGCAGACCACGTACTTCACTTCATAGCAATGGTGTTCCCTGATAGCAGTGGCCTCTTTCAGGAGGATAATGCACCCTGCCACATTGCAAAAAATGTTCAGGAATTGCTTGATTAACATGACAAAAAGTTCAAGGTGTTGTCCAGATCTCACTCCAATTGAGAATCTGTGGGATGTGCTGGAACAACAAATCCGATCCATCCGATCACAACAGTATTTAAACAATCTTCTGCTAATGTTTGGTTCTAAATACCACAGGACATGTCCATGCCTTGACCCATCAGAGCTGTTTTTGCATCACAAGGGGGACCTACACACTATTGGGCAGGTGGTTTTAATGTTGTGGCTAATTAGTGTATATCCCCACTGTACAACTGTAAAGTGCTATGGAAAATGCTGGCACCATATCACTACTAAGAAAACCAACGATAATAATGATCTATATATAACTGACATAAAGCTCTGGCAAACATCTGTATACTGCCATTTGTGTAATAAATACAAGATATAACACAGAGTTTTTGTTTTGTTTTTTATTAGTCTTCATTTAAATGAAGACTAGAACACCAGTTACTTAAATTTGAACTGTAGGGGGCGGGGCCGGGCGGCCATGCCAGCAGGCTGCAAGTCAACATGGCTCTGGGGAAACTCGACGAATAATGGGTAAAAACCCATCAAAATCAGCTTGGAACCCCCTGGAAGTGTGTGATACCTGACCCTGGAGTGTCCCGGTGCAGCTGGAGCACCTGATATCGGGTGGACCGGGTCCCGGTGAGACGCTCCGGGGCTGGGGAGACTGAGGCCTACCCGGGAAGGGAGCGGGGTGGACGGCCGCCGCCTCACTTTCCGTCCCCGGCAAATACCGAGACCCATGACAAATCTGGGGCCCCCGGCCTCGCTTACCCCCCCTTTGGGCTGGCGGGGGTTATCCCGGCCCCCACCGGGCAGACACCATCGCGGCAGTGTTTCTGGGCGACTAGCCGCCGATAGCCACCATGCGGCCCCCACAAAATGGCCGACAGCGAGGCACCTATTTGGCACACCGCTGAGGGAAGCTCCCACACCACTCAGCCAGGGCTATGAACACCCATGGCATTTACCAGCAGTCATGACGGGGCGACAGCAGAGACCTGCCATTCTGCTGAACAGTCACCCCACAAGCAGACTTACACGCCAGCAGAGGACCCAACGCTTACCTGCACTGAGCGTGCCCCACTGGAGATCTCGAGACCCCAAGCGACCAGCTCATCACAGCGTTAGCTACATCTGGGTACTGTGCCCATAAAGCAACTTACCCGCACTCACACACCAGCTGGGTACACAGCCGAGGTGGTCCGCAGACACTTTAACCCACAGAGGGACCCACAGCTCCAAAGGACGCAGAGATGCTCTATGAGGAACATCTGGGTGCCGGAGAAAAGGACACTGCTCAACACCATCCACAACTCTAAAGCAACAGGTACCCCAGCGCCATGTGACAGACGGCAATTAAAGCAAAAGCTGCTAGACCTGCTGCTAACAGCCCCACTCACAGAAACCCTGGCTGTGAACACTTCCAAATGGACACATCTACTACCGACACTTAGTGCAGTTAATCACTTAATATGCCATAACCTGCCTGGTGGCAACTGTTTAACTTACCTGTGTAATCTCTCTTAGATAAGCTGTTAATACAGGTGAACATCAGTCTACTCACCTGCCTAATCGACCTTGGGTCTTAAGCTGAGCCCTAATCACCACCTAGCCTAAATTAAGGGGGCAGCCCAAGCCGGGTTAGAACCTGCATTAGACCTAATCACTCTTATGAGGCGACATAAACAGACAAGACAAGCGACGGTAATGGCAACAGCTCAGGTCTTGTACTACATAACTTAGATGAGAACAGATGAATATCTTGCAATCACAGAAATGTTATGTATAATGCACCCATACTACGTCAGTGTTATTATTACTCATGTTATTTCACTACTTATCCCTTTAAAATTGCATAAGCTTTCCCAAGCGGTAAACCCCCTGTAGGCAACACGATTTTATTTTACTTAAAGGCAACCGAGCCAGTTCCTGCTATCAGCAGCCCACTGGAACTAACTGGGGGCATAGACCCACAAATCTACTTGCAGCAACAGGTAGAGGCCTGATACTGGGAAAGGGGAGTTTAACTCGGGGCTCTAGGGCAATAACCTAATCCTCCCTGCAACAACCAAACGAACTTGCTACCATAGTTAACTATACCTAGCTTGTATGCAGCCTAGTCTACCCCAACCTTACTATTGTTACTCATAATAATGTTATCCAAGCATACTCAACGTACTTTAACTGAAGCTGCTCATTTATAATTAACCTTATCACATGCATGTCTAGAGTAGAATGTTTAATACGTCTACTAATGTTACAAAGCTTGTAATTTTACAGTTAACCAATAAGCCTGTTTAACCTTTAACGAACACTCGACTTGTATTAGCCTATTAGAATCATACCAAATAGACAAAGCGGATTATCAATCTTACGTTTAACTATTAATATGCCTAAATACTTTAACATGTTATTTCATATAAGCAATGTTTACTAGCCTGTTATATTCATTTTAACAAAAAATGTGCAAATGTAAAAAACCACGAACATGTCTGCATGAACCTGCCTGTGTCTGCTGTCGTGGCTACACGGGCCTGCATGTAAAATCTTTTGCACCAAAAATAAAGAATTAAAAAAAAAAAAAAGAAATTTGAACTGTATTCAATAAAACTGACTTCACAGAACTGAACATTAGATCTCCGATGCAGTTAATTGGTCAAGCCATACAGATGGATATAATTAAATAGATCTAATAAATATTATCAGCAGCAGTTAGTGCACTGCTTGGATCCTGCCAGTAGGTGTCGCTTCATAGAAAGCTCTGTAACCGTGATGTTGTGCGGAATCTGCTTCACAAGCGAAGGAACCGATAGCTCACTTTTTGCACTTCAGCTTTTGTAAATAATGCCCCTTCCAATGATTCTCAGCCAGTCAATAAACGACAAGGTGGAGAATAGCCATTACTGATCTTGGGCATTACAAAATACGAAACTGAAAACTATGAAAGATCTGCTCTGTTCCATCCAGTAAATAAGGTGTATTCACCATGCTGCCACACAGCTCCATTCATTCATCTTCCAAGAACCCTCAGAACTCGGAAATGTTGGCTGAAATGAAAACTCATCCTTATTGATTATCCCAACTCTGGGGCCATATGCACTTCCCATGAAGACGCATATAACAAATAATATGGTTTGCACCTCCTATTTGAGCACCCCAACCCTGTGTGTGTAACTCCATCGCTACGTGGTGCTGTCGCTAGATACCAATAACTTAGACATACTCACACTGACAAGCAGCAGGACTCCACGCACACCTGTCTATTGAGTTCTGGGCTGCAATAACCCTGCATGATCCTTCCACGCACCCCTTGGCCTTGCCAAAGGGATCCTCTGTGTCAATTAAGAAATTGGCACCAGCAGCTGAGCATCTGGAAAAAAGGTCATAATTCAGATATCCATGAAAACTCGATTTGCCTGAGCATAGATTGCACCAATCATGTCTGCAAGATGCTTTGTAGATTAATCTGCCCCTATCAAGATACCATTATATGATAGAGAGAGGAATGCTGCATATTATGTTTGTAAATGCATGTTCTGACATATATCTTCATATACTCTAAACTCATATACTCTATACTCTTGCTTCTGTCAATATTATATTGTATATCAATTACTTACTGTCAGATATCCCAGTTCTATCATTGTAAAGCGCTGCAGAATATGTAGACGCTATATAAATTCAAATAATAATAGATATATTCTGTTGTCTTCACTTCAGAAAGGAAATGGTGTAAAATCTAAAATGTAGGAAATACAGCTGTACACGGCATATCCCAATAACTCCTGCTGGGCAGATACACATGAAAGATATGTATTAAATCATGAGTAGTTTATGAGAAATTGTAAATTAAGCTTCTAGTCCAAGTCAATATAAGCTCATTTCTGGCAATGGGGATCACTGCAGGGTCTGCTGCATACTGTATAGCATTCAATACAAACCTATATGTATATCATTCCATTTAATCTATTGTGCTCTCCTTGAGAACAACGGAATAAGTGACTTGGTTGGGTTATAGATCCCAGTCACTACTTGTTTCTGTAGACATCACTACAGAGGAGTGAATTCTGAGAAGTTGCTTCAAATGATGGACAATCAAGAAGGAATACATTTTTGAATGCATTATGATCATTATATATTAAAATGAGAGGACAGGTTACTCCCAGACCAGGATGCTTCTTTAAAGAGACACTATAGTCACCAGAACCACTAAACTGAATGTAATGGTTCTGGTGTCTATAGCTTGTCGCGGCAGAGTTTTCTGAGAAAAGAAATTGTTTACATTGCAGCCTATGAACACCTTTGGTGTTCTAGAGAAGCTTCCTATCTTAGTGCTGCACACTGTGCAGCACCTACATTCAGAGTCTCCATGCTCTTCGTGGCGACGGTGAACATTCCTCATAGAGATGCACTGATTTAATTTATCTTTATGAGAAGATGCTGATTGGTGCAGCACACTCAATGCTTTCCTATGTTGGCTGCATTGGCTTAGATCAGTGGTTCACAACCCAGTCCTTAAGTACCCCCTACCAGTCCAGGATTTAAGACACAACAGGGTAATCCATAAATCCTGGACTGGTATGGGGTACTTGAGGACTGGGTTGGGAACCCCTGGCTTAGATCATCAAGAGGCGGGGACAGCCACGGTGAGGCCAGCGAAACAAGGGTAAAAAGGTGAATAAAATCACATTAACACTGCGATCCGAGGGGGCCCGGGTACCTAAACAGCCACTTCAGGACTACAGTGTTAGGTATACACTGATCAGTATACATTATATGGATTGGTTACTATCTAGATATGTAGTGTTTCAAACATTCATTATTTAAATGTCTTACAATATGGATACAGAGTTTACCAATCACTAAGCATTATATAGACTGGTCACCAGCTACATATTGAGTTTAATGTTTAGAATTTATTTTATGGATTGGTTTCTTTCTGGCTCGATACAGAGATTACTAATCAGTAGTGATGTCCCGAACGGTTCGCCGCGGACGCCGAACATATGACCCTGTACCTCACAGCCAGCAGACACATTCCAGCCAATCAGCAGCAGACCCTCCCTACCAGACCCTCCCACCTCCTGGACAGCTCACTAAGAATGCAGCTTCAAAATGGATGCTGTCCAGGAGGTAGGAGGGTCTGGGAGGGAGGGTCTGCTGCTGATTGGCTGGAATGTGTCTGCTGACTGTGAGGTACAGGGTCATATGTTCGCCGTCTGCGGCGAACCGTTCGGGACATCACTACTAATCAGTACTCATTTTATGGATTGATTACGGTCAAGTGTTCACAGATCAGTGCTCATTATATTCGTATGGTTACAGGGTTTACCAATCACCATTAACCATATGGATTGTTTACCAGCTGGATATAGAGTTTAACAATCTGTATTCATCACATGGATTGGTTAATAACTAGTTACAGAGTTACCCGACCAGTATTCATTTTATAGATTGGAAAACTCTGTATCTCGCAATGAACCAATCAGTACTTATTATATAGATCGGTTACTAGCGAGATATGGAGTTTACCAATCATTATTCTTATAAATATATTAGTACTAGCTAATAGTAACAATGTTTACCCACCAGCATTCATAATATGGATTGGTTACTAATTATATATAGAGTTTACTTATGCATTACAGTATGCATTATATTGGTATGGTTATAGCTAGATACAGAGTTTACCAATCACAATTCACTACATGGATTGGTTACTAGCTAGAAAAAATGTTTAACAATCAGTGTTCATTAAACAGGTTGTTTACCAGCTATACACAGTGTTTATGAGTTAGTATTGATGACATGGATTGGTCATGAGCTAGGTACAGAGTTTACCAATCACTGTTGATTGTATCAGTGGCTCGGAAGTCAAATAACTATATTCTCAGGTCATTGTATTGGTCACACTCCCCAGGTTAGTGAAAACTAGTTGCTTGGTTAGTGCGGCAACAATTACCTAGCTACAAGAACACTGTGGTTCAGCACTGGACAGTACCCATCCAACTGTGAACATTGTTCTCTGGGCAGGAGTGGTAGTGCCTGTCTGCTTGGTGGGTCCTTGACCTTCTGGCCTTCACTATTTTATTGGTCAGCTCGATTCCACAGAGTGCTTTGAGGATTCCATGAACAGCAGCTGAGGTCCATCTCTGAAGCTCATTAATTGTTTATTCAGCATCCAGAACCATCATTTTTTAATGGGCACCTATATATTATTTTGTGCTGTCACTCAGACAACAAATGAATCCTAATTTAAACAAGGTCACCCAACAGCATCAAAAAAATTATAGATGTCTGGTAAATAAACGAGACCCATGCTACCCTAGCATGAATGGTGCCTTTATGAAACCTATTGAGACTGACCTTTGAACTGAGGATGGAAAAGTTACCACCCTACTTGAATGGTGCCTCTATGAAACCTGTGGAGACTGACCCTTGAACTGAGGATGGAAAAGTTAAAAACAAAAACAAACCTGGTGCTTCTGTCACTGTGATATAAAATGTAGTAGGCAATTGTCAAGTCCAACAATAAACATCTGAATCCTGTATGAGCTCCATAATGCAAAATTGAGGATCATTCACAACTTTACCTGAAATTTGTCGTTCATTTACTCTGTAAAGCCAATTCAGACAGGGTTACTCACTAAAGTAAAAATTGTCAGAAATGTAAAATGAATTTAAAATGTAAGGCTACACTAGCTGAACTGGAAGTAACTTTAAATTCCTGACAAATCTTACTTTAGTGAATAACTGAGAGGAAAATTAACAATATGAATGAAAACTCCAAACACCATAACAACCTTTATTCCTTGTATAGACTATAGCGTAAGGAGACACCTTGTCCATATACACCCTGTTCCAAATTACTATGCAAATTATATTTTTCTCATTTACCTAAATAATTGATGTAAATAACAGTCAGCATAATCCTCATGTTATCAACTATTAAGAGTACAATTCAAATTTTATTGAACAAACCTCCTAATGATGACAGTATTTTTTTTAAACATAAAAAACTTAGAATTCACTGTTCCAAATTATTATGCACAGTAGGTTTCAAAACACTTTATAGGATGTAAATAACTGAAATTTGACATTTGTTGTGTTTGCAGCATATTTACTGAAATCAAAAGCTATTTCAATCAAACTTATAACAACATTTTAACTTTTTAACAGGCCACGTTACATTTTAACATAGGACCTATTATTTGATAGCAGCTTCATAAGTCTTGCATCCATTGAACTTGTGAGTTTTTGGACAGTTTCTGCTTGCATTTGTTTGCAAGATGTCAGAATAGCCTCCCACAGCTGCTGTTTGGATGTAAACTGTCTCCCACCTTCATAGATGTTTTGCTTGAGGATGCTCCAGAGGTTCTCAATAGGATTGAGGTCAGGGGAGGATGGAGGCCACACCATGACTTTCTCTCCTTTTATCCCCATAGCAGCCATTGATGCAGAGGTATTCTTTGCAGCATGAGATGGTGCATTGTCATGCATGAAGATGATTTTATTATGGAAAGCATAGTTCTTCCTTCTGTACCAGGGAAGAAAGTGGTCAGTCAGAAACTCCACATACTTTGCA